TATTGTGTGACCATGTCCAGGAACATAACTACTGTACATCTCTGCTGATTGTAAAAAACCAAATCATGTGAAAAAATCATGGAGTTGTGATTATTTTAGTTGGATGAACAGCTTTCTCAGTATAAATAAATGCGCTGCGATTGCGAGAGGTACCCATCCAAGATGGAGGCCGCACCGAAATGTCCGCTCCAATAGGCAGCGGCGGTCCTTAGGGTATCTCCTGTACATATCTATGTAGTGCAGCACTGTCCACAATACACACTCTGGGTGCCACACATAGCGCAATATTTTTTGCTTAAAGTTTTGGTATTAATTGTTGAAGCAATGTAGTCTGTCTGTTAGCAAAATACCCCATGAACCACTGGATAAGGTAATGAAAACACCCAATTCAAGATGGCTGTCAGGCATTCAACATGAAACCAACACAAAAATAGATAAAACAAATTTAACAGATATTGAGTTTACCTTCGAGCGGTGGTCGTGGAGAGTAATTTAAGACAGTTTCTCTTCATTATATTCAAGGTTTAATTTAAAAAATGGCTTCAACTTGTTAATTTTCAGCAGAAGATGATCTTAGCCYAACATTCTGGAGTAATAACCATGTATTCCTTCAAGGAATATTAGGCCCTTTATGACTTAATGCTTTATGTTGAAAACAGTTCATTTCCTTCACTCACAGACACACACAATAAATACAAACATTTATACAATAATTTTACAAACACACACACATTCACTTGGTTTTAGGAAACCTGAAGGTTTGGGCCATAGTTTACAGAGAAATTCATTTATTTTACASGACTTTTGGGAAATCTTCTCTCACATTCTTGAAACTTTATTTTTTTTTGTCCTGTGTTTCTAGTTGATGTTAGCATCCTTATTGTTCTGAATGTCACTTTCTTTTTTCTTTTTTTAATTTTCACATAAAGCTTTATTTTTATTTATTTAATTTTTATTTTTAATCCATTTAGGACAAAGACAAAACACAGAACATAAATGRTGTCACAAATGGACATGATTAAGGATAACTAAAGAGCACGTTGTAAGATGTTATTCGTAGTGTTTGGGTTTGTTATGTTAAAGTCAGATGGAAGGGGATAGTGTGATGGTGTGACCAGAGWTTTGAGACAGTTTCATGATTATTTATTTTTAGAAGTTTTGTATTGGTGGACAGAGCCAGAATGCCTGGAGGTGGTCATCAGTTGCATTAAGTGTGTGCAAATGTCTGATTCTTTAAGTCCCATGATGTGCATCCTGTGTTGTGTCAGATGTGTTGTATGGGTATTTTATATTGTATTAACTGTATGATGGTGTTGTTGGACATGGTAAAAATGTTTTGTCAGAAACTATTCCAAAACTGATTATCTGTATGGATATCAAGGTCTTTTTCCCATTTAGTGATTGGGATTTGTATAATTTTGTGAGTGTTCTTGGTGATTAAGGAATTTTATTCACGCTGTCTAGTAGTAGTTGTCCCAGGTGAGAGTTTCCTGTTAGTGTTATAGTTATCAATAAGCTGTTAAAATGTTAAAAAGTTATGTTTGTCAAAGATGTGTTGGAGGTGTGTGATTCCAGACAGCTGTGATTTATTTGCAGTGAAATCTGGGTTATTATTATTTGGGTGAAAATATAGTTTATTTTATTAATCTTCCACTAAGCAGGGTTTGCTGCCATTGCTGGATTTTTACAACAGTTGTGATGACTAACTGTGTTGCTAATGAATGGTACGTCTCTTATCAATATGTTTTTACAGTCAGATTGTTCGATGTCCAGACATGGATGAAAATGATTAATGTGGAGTGTGACCGTTTGATGAGGTATTGTAATTGGTTAGCTAAGTAGTAGTGGTGGAAATTTGGTGCATCCAGGCCACCTTGAAGTTTTGACTATTGTAATGTTGTTAGTTTTATTCTAGGTTTTTTATTTTTCTGGTAAAATGATGTTATTGTGTCCAGAGTGGTGAAAATACTGCAGCAGGTTAGAGATCATGGTGAATAAGTAATTGAGTTTAGGTAATATCATCATCTTAATTGTGTTAATTTGTCCCATAATTGAAAGGGGTATTTTTATCCATCACTGTACATCATCTTTTATTGTTTTCAGTAGAGAGGTAGAATTRAGGTGGAACAGCTTGGGGGAGAACTGTATGCCTAAAAATGTGATCTGGTCAGTAGATAGTAGTGAGGGAGCTGTTATGTGTGAAAATATTGCTGTCTCCATTTATTGTTACTGTGGTTGATTTTGTTCCATTTTATTGTGAAACTTTGGAATATGTATTAATGACTTGGATTAGTTCTTTAATTGATTTATTTGGGTTTTGTAGGAACAATAGTACATCATCTGCATATAAACTAATTTTATTTATTATTCGTATGAATGCCTTCAGTATTAATGTTTTGACGGATTGATGCTGCTAACGGTTCAATGAAAGTCTAAATAATGAGGGAGATTGAGGGCATCCTTGTCTGGTACCTCTGTGAAGTGTAAAACTTGTCAAAATTAAACTTTGTTATAACCACTGCTTTCGGTTTATTGTAAAATGTTTTGGTTTATTGAATAAATGATTGTCCAAAACCTAATTTTACCATTACTTTAATTATGACCCGAGTCACAGTTTTTTTTTTTCAGTGATTTTTGGTCAATCGTAACACAAAAACGGCTGCACCGATCAACATGAAATTTGGCAGAACTGTAGATGAGTCTGACCTACACTGCACCAGCCAACGGTTTTAAAATACACCCCATATTTGAGGAGGGGGCTCCTTTCAAAGAGGGGGTGTCAGGACATGAAAAAAGGCTTATAACTCAGAAACTGTTCAACATAGAAGCTTCAGATTTCTTTTGTTGTTTAGCTCTGATGAAGCTCTATCCATCAGACCCACCACTCAGTGCCCCCCAACCCCCCGGACCCCCAATTTATATGATAAAGGGGTGCCTGGACTTACAAAAAGGGTTATAGCTCAAAAACTATTAAACATAGAAGCTTCAGATTTCTTTTGTTGTTTAGCTCTGATGAGGGGCTATCCATCAGGTCAACAAATGCCCCCCCCCCCAAATAAAAGACCCCCACCCAAACCACTACAATTTTGGGATGCACTCAGCAGCATGACATTTATTAGGAATAAAGTCTTCTGAGTTCTGGTGCATTTCTGCATGCGGGGGTCATTCTGTTACCACTATGTGGTGTCTAGTGTGAAGAGTATCTGTCTTTAATAAATCTGGTTTGATCTGGGTGAACAAGAGATGAGATAACTGATTCAATGCTGTTTGTTGAAGCTATGCTGATTATTTTAATATTGGTGTTAATCTGGGAAATAGGCCTGTAGCAGCAATCCTCAGAAAATCGATCTTTGTTAGTTTTGAGGAGTAGAGATTAGTGCTGTATTCCTGTGATATGGGATGAACTGGTTGTTTTTTAATTTCATCTGCCATTTTAACAAAAAAGGGTGATAGTAATTCCCAGAAATGTTTGTAAAATTTTGGGGGATGTCCATCTAATCCTGGTGCTTTTTTGTTTGACATTTTTTGTGCTTTTTTATATTCTGTGGCTGTAAGTGGGGTATGTAAGATGTCTGCCTGTTCCTTTGTTAATGATGGAAGTGTAATATTATTGAGAAAATGATCAATTTATTTTAGGAAATTTTCCTTACTACTGTTAAATAATTCATAATGTGAATCCTGTTCACCGAAGCAAATTCGTAGTCTGTGAATCCTTTTCATTGAAATTGGCAATAAAACTGATTCTGATTCTGATTCTGATAATAAAATTGTCTGAAGGCATTATTTATGATTTGTGGGTCGTTGGTAAAATTTCCTGCAGAGTCTTCAATTGTTGTAATGAGAGATTTTTTCTTGTTTTGTTTATGTTTGGCATAAAGTACAGATCAAAAGTTTGGACACACCTTTTCTTTCAAAGAGTGTTCTTTATTTTCGTGGATATGAAAATTGTAGATTCACACTGAAGGCATCAAAAACAGATGGACCTTTATGCAGTGCTGGCTC